AAGCCCCATATGTATTTATATACTTAAGGGTAAAATCATAATTTTATTAAATCTTATTAGGTTATCGGTTAACCCGTTAAGAAAATTGGGCAAATCGAGACCCGAACCGATAACCCAATAGTGAAAAATTACTAAATCGTTACCGAACCGTTAACCCAATATTTCGATACCGATACTCCAATAAGCTTTTTTCTGTTTGGGCTATCGGTTATACCCGATATTTGCGCAGCCCTAATTACTATTGCCCCAAGCGAGTCGTTTGGGGCGTTCTTCTCAATTCGAAGAGCTTCAGGGTCATCCCGTTTTGATATACCCACCGATTGATGACTTCGATGGGAAGCATCATCGATCTCCAACGACTTGGGGACTTTGTTCGAGTCCTTCTCCGATATTCCCCCAGTTCGAGATGGAGCCTCATCAACCGCCATCGACCCAGCTGCCTTTGGGGCATCAATGGTTTTCTTCACTCGGGCCACCAGTATAGACCCGTCATTTTCTTTTTCTCCTTCATCTTCATCCCTTAGACGCCGAACAAATTCTTCGGTCAAAGGGATGATGTTCTTCCTCGGCTTACGAGCCGTCCTCGTCTAAAGCTTTGGATCCTCGGCAGTACAGGCCATTTTCTCTTATTATCCTTCGCCGGTTTCGGAACTAAGGTCGAAGTCTCTTCTTCGCCAGACGAGGGGCCCATTATGTATCTTTAATTATATCTAAAGTAGGATTCTTCCACTATAAGAGGGATATCTACTATTTTGTAAAGCAGGAGACTAAGACTTGAATATACTATCATATTATTCACAGAGAAAAACATACTGATATCCATATAGAGTTTATCCTCTTGTGAGATTTATACTTTGATTCATCTTGCTTGTTCATAAACTAGTTTCCTATTCAATTTGGTTTGTATTTAATTCTTATACAGTCGATACTCAATATATTTCTACTTACTTTCTAATTTGTGCCAAGTTATACCTCGTACCCTTAGAACTACGTATAAATTCAACTCTATCCGTTTTTTGGATTAACAAAGCTTTTTCCTGAGCTCGGAATCTAACCCCGTACCCAGGTATACCTTTCATTCGGGAAAATATTCGATTAGTATGACTTGCTCCAACTCTTGTTGATTGGGTAGCGTTGGAATCATCGGGGATCACGAAGGATCGAGAGATCCCATGTTCATCATCTTCGTCAGTCTTCTGATTCTCTAATTGGGTCGAAGTTGACGTTTGTGATTACTATTTGGTATTCCGTTCCCCCTTTGAATCCGATCCTTTTGCTGGTGATAACGATGATATAGGAATCACTTCATCGACGGCAAACATTTCTTTTGCGGCCGGTTGCTCCTGTAGACCATTTTAGTTCCCTCCGATGTTGGGAACTTCAAAACCTGGTGGAGGGTTGAGGGTACAACCCTCATATTGTGGATCCATGGTCTTCCGAACAGGGCGTTGTATCTCATATCGCCTTCGATCACGTGGAACTTTGTTTCTTGAATGGTCCCGGTCACGTTAACTAGTAGGATTATTTCTCCCTTTATGGTTTCACATGCCATATTGAATCTATTTAGTACCAAGGTTGCGGGCACAATCTGGTCTTGTAGACCAAGTTGCTCTACGACCCTCAATCGAATGATGTTGGCCGAACTACCTGGATCAATTAACACACGTTTAACCCTTGGCCTCGATCATTTCTCTTTTCGCCTCATACGGGGTTGCGTGAAAGTTCGCTACCCCTACGATCTCCGTTATATGGCCGGTATCGACCGTTGTTTGACCTTGGTTCTCGGTCGATATCCCTTTTAAAATTGGATCCAGAACCCAACTGATCGTCTTTGACTCTTATTTTGGATTGATACCGATTGTGCACATCGGCCCAAGTAATAGCTGGGTACTCGATCAGGTTATGCTTCAACCGCNTGACCTTGGTTCTCGGTCGATATCCCTTTTAAAATTGGATCCAGAACCCAACTGATCGTCTTTGACTCTTATTTTGGATTGATACCGATTGTGCACATCGGCCCAAGTAATAGCTGGGTACTCGATCAGGTTATGCTTCAGCCGCCGTGAAGCCATCGAGCTTCGTTCGTTTAGACCTTGAGTGAAAGATTGAACAGCCCAATCGTCTGTGACTGGTGGTAGATCCATTCGTTCCATTTAGAAACGAGATACAAATTCTCTTAGCATCTCGTTATCCTTTTGTCTCACCTTGAATAAGTCCGACTTCCGGGTCTTGACTTTTATGGCCCCAGCATGTGCTTTTAGGAAACAATCTACAAGCATAGCAAAAGAATCGATAGAGTTAGACGGTAAATTGTGATACCATATCATTTTCCCCTTCGACAGGGTTTCACCGAATTTTTTCAATAATACAGATTCGATCTCATCGTCCTCTAGATCGTTCCCTTTAATGGCACATGTGTAAGAGGTGACATGTTCGTTGGGTCAGTCGTTCCATTATACTTAGGAATTTTGGACATGCGAAACTTCTTTGGGATTGGTTTAGGAGACACGCTCGGGGGGAAAGGCTTTTGTACAAATTTTTTGGAATCTAAGCCTTTCAATATCGGGGGTGCCCCCTGGATCTGATCAACCCTGGAGTTGTATGTCTCCACTTTTTTGTTATTTTCTTCGATCCTCTTTTCTCCTGACTCTATTCGTTTTGTCAGTTCTTCGAACATCTTAACAATTCGGGATTAGTCCCTGATTCTTGCTCATTTGACCTTACTATAGCTGGCCCTGTTTTGTGGGTGACTTCTTGGGGTGGACTGGGCTCGAGTCTGGTCGGTGCCTGGGTTTGGCTCTGCAACTAGGCTATCGCTACTTGTTGAGCTTGCAACATCTCAAAGATCATATGCAAGCTGATTCCGTTTTCCTCAGCGTTTTGAGTATTCCGAGTTGCAGACCGAGTTCCACCTTGAACGTTATTTTCAGGGTCGAAACGTTAGTTTGCCTCGATGGCCACATGTGAATTAACGTCTATTATCTCTTCGACCCGAGCTCCAACGGGATCGACGAGTGGCCTTCTATCCCCAGGGGTTAAGTTGTTATTCTCATCTTGAAGGCCTGCTTCGTTGTCGATAGGTAGGGCCATTAATTGAGAGATAGTTGTTTTTAACCTGGAATCAAAGACACTTCCGAGAGCAAGCGTAAAATGGTGTGTTTTGTAAAGATTCGTACCAAACAACCACTGTTATCCTTAGCACCACGGTGGGCGTCAAACTGTTTATCCAAAAAATGGATAAAGTTGAATTTATACGTAGTTCTAAGGGTACGTGGTATAACTTGGCACAAATCAGAAAGTAAGTAGAAATATATTGAATATCGACTGCATAAGAATAAAATACAAACCAAATTGAATAGCAAACTAGTTTATGAACAAGCAAGATGAATCAAAGTATAAATTTCACAAGAGGATAATCTCTATATGGATATTAGTATGTTTTTCTGTGTGAGTAATATGAGAGTGTATTCAAGTGTTAATCTCCTCCTTTACAAAATAGTAGATATCCCTCTTATAGTAGAGGAATCCTACTTTAGATATAATTAAAGATACATAGTGGGGATCCCATGATAAATTAGCTTTTTCCTAATTCCCGCCGAGATTCTCTCTCTTAGTGCGGCTGTAACGGCTCTTGTCTCGTGGCTCGATCTTGGTCGGATTTGGTACTGGCCGATTTTCAGGTTTAGAGCTCGATATTAATTCGAGTTCGATATTGACTCGGGGCTCGGTACCTAATCGGGCTAGATATTGGCTGGTCTATAGCTTTTAAACTCGATAACCCTGCTTCACTTCATAGTTCGATTTGGACTCGGGTCGGGATCGGTAATGACTTCGAGCTCGGTAATTGATCGGTCCCAGAAATTAGAGCTCGGTAACCTGGCTTCGGGTCTAATACCCGATATTACGAAAATGATCTTCGGTCCATTATGTTTCAATTTAGACTAATCATACGAAGGTTGAAACCGGTTTTGACCGTATACACTTTTCTTTCTAGGAAGTGCGCATTGATATCCATCTATTTATAACTCAGGTTTTAATTTCATCATCCGTTAAGTAAGAAAGTGCGTATTGATGAGCAGTCACATTTGCCTTAGTGATTCACACACCTGGCTATTACTCAATCTTGAATCTAAAGAATTCTATTGCAGATTGTAAACTACTAAAGATGTTCAACTTCATGCAAATACAGTTTGGCTTCATAGCTAGCAGGGGACTTTAAATACCGGAGCTGTATATTTAGCTTTAAGATGGTTTGTTTCTTCTCTCTTCTTTTTTCTCGACCTTATATTCAACTGCAGATATTGCTTTTGATATATCATTAGGTACTTGTAGTTAAGATATCTATCTACTGTACCCACCAACAGTTTCTAACTAGTTGAACCGAGTCAGAATCCTACTAACATCAAATCCTCATGTTTGCTCCATCTTTTAACTGAGTGCTGTATAAAAACAATACTAATCCTAGATTACTTAGTTTTCTCTTCTACTGGTTTACATCGTGTAAACGGAAAGAAAAAGAGGGGGCGGGAGGTGGGTTCTTTCCTATGTTTAGCCTAGTAAAGTAAGGTATCATGCCTTGCCCTTACGCATTGCACCGATTGTTTTATTATTCCACCAATAACTCCAAGAATCGTGATGATTTTCCAAACTCTGCTATTTCAGCTCACTCAAGATTATGCTGAAGTTTTAAATAATACAAAGAACTAATTGGAAGCTGTTACTTATACTCTTTTTTCCTAGGAAAGCTTGTGTGCACCATTGTTTAAGAAGAGGCAACCCAATGATGCATCAACGGTTGCTACTGAAATACATAAAATGGCTTATGGCAGCAAATAACAAGTGATAACTCAACGGAATGGACGTATCGTGTGATTCATTAGCTGTTCAATCTTGATGATAAATATTACTAGTAACAATCAAAAATCTGGTCATAAAAATTGAAATTGTAGTACTTTATAACAGAACAAAAAAGCAAGTGATGGAGGAAGTTAACCAGCAATTTACCTAGGTCCTGATAACTCTGAAGGAACTGGTAAGCTGATACAAACCGCAGCTTCCCTTTCTTGATTATCTTCGGCAACTCTTCTTCTCAATGGTGGATATGGAAAGCTGTAATCCAAGTCAGTTTCAGCAGCCACTAAACCCTGCAACACCTTAACTACCAATGACATCGAAGGCCTCTTAGTATAATCACTTTGTAAACACCATGCTGCAATCTTCATGATTTCCACAGCCTCTTCGTTGTGGAGCTGCATATCCTCACTGTTCTTGTCCACCATTTCCAAGAGTTGTATCTCTTTTGCTTTTCTCTTGAACAAACCTAGCAAATGCATATCATTCTCATCTTGAAGACGATCCAAATTCTTTCGGCCATAGATGATTTCCAAGATCACAACTCCAAAGCTATAAACATCTACTTTCTCTGTAATGACTGAGTTCAACCATTCTGGTGCTAAATATCCTGGTGTTCCTCTCATTGTTGTAACTATCTTACTTTCATCTTTTCCCACGAGCTTTGATAACCCAAAATCTGATACTCTTGCATTGAAATTATGATCAAGAAGAATGTTCTGAGGTTTGATATCCAAATGGATAATTTTGTTGTTACAATCTTCATGTAAGTAAGCGATGCCCTTGGCGACGTCTGATATGATTTTTTTCCTGACATCCCATGTGAGAAATTGTTCCTGCTTTCTGCGGAAAATCCACCTATCTAAAGAGACATTGGTCATGTATTCATAAACCAGAAGCCTGTGTGATTTCTCAGCACAAAATCCAACAAGGCTTACTAGATTGACATGTTGAATGCTACCTATTGTTGCTACTTCAGCTAAGAATGATTTCTTCACATTACCGAAACCTTGGAGACGCTTCATTGCTATTTTAGTGCCATCATTCATTGTTCCTTCAAATACAGAACCAAATCCTCCTTCCCCAAGTTTCTTACTGAAATTTTCTGTCATAACAGTTAGTTCCTCAAAAGAAAATCTTGTAGGCATTCCTGGTACATGGTCAAGGAACTCTTCCTCCACTTCCTCGAGTCCTTTTCTCCTTCTGGAAAGAAAGTCAAAGCAAGTTAAAACCATGAAAAGCAAACCAAACGAAGCTCCAATAGCGGATCGTACTATCGTTGCCACACGCTTTGGTTTCTTCTCTGAAGACGCAAGCGATGGAGAGGCTTGTAGGTTAGAAGAGTTCTGCACCTTGATAAAAAGAGTGGTTTTATTGAGTGCTCCATCATTGTTCAAGAGCGAAAACACTTGATTCAACAGTACGCAGTTACCCATTGTGTTAGCACGATCACTGTTGCGACCAAACACACTCACGCAAGTATACGCGGTCGTCAAGTAATAAAGTGACTCAAAGTCGGATGTCGAACCCACGAGGACTTATGATTAGCTATTAACTAAATTAGCCTATCTTAATTATCTAAATAAGAATTAAATCTAAAAATATTTTATTCTAACTAATTAAATAAGAAAAATATAAATAATAAACTTTGAACAGAGAAAGAGCAGATTTTAATGATATCAATGTAATGAAAACGATCTAGGGTTATGGGCTATCTAACAATCCTATTGTATTCTTCAATTGAATTGACCGACTAATTTATCTAGCTTATTGGTTGACAGGGTTAATATTGCTCATAAGAATCTGTCGAGTTCTTACTCGCCTATTCAAGCTAACCTAACGCCTATATGTCTATGGAGTTAGAATCAACAAGAACGCATTTATAATTCCTGTAAATCAACCAAGCAAGGCAATTAGGTATATGTCTATCCTAACCACGAATCCGTTCCCCGATGCCCGAGTTCAAGAACTTGCCCTACTCAATCCTATATGCAATATAGAATTCCCACTTTCGAGTTCAATTCTAGATTCGTAGATAATATTCAATTGGTGATCAAGCAATTAAATAATTAAGTGCAAGATTGAATAAATAAACTAATATGATAAATCAAGAAGTCAAAATCAATATCCGAATAACAATAGTCATGAAAGAACCACAACCCTAGAACGTGAAGTTTAGCTCCACATAGACATGGTAGCCAAACAACAAATCATATAAAGAAACATAAAAATTACTAAGTTTGGTGGGAGAAAGATGAAACTTGATGAATTCCGGCCTCCACAGCTTTGTCGTGGCTTTTTCCCCCTTCCCAATATGTTAGATAACCTAAAAGAGGCGTTTTTAGCTTATATATTGCGTACAAAAGTCGTGGGCCAAAGCTCTCCTATTCCTAGTCCAATTCGGCTTCAGGGATTGATGCTAAGGTGGATGCGACGCATCCACCTTGTCCTCCATTTCAATTTTTGCCTGCGAAGGTGGATGCGACGCATCCACCTTGTCCTCTATTTCTCAGCTTTGCACGCGATGGTGGACGCGACGCATCCAGCCTTCTCTTCTACTTCCCAGTTTCGCACGCGATGGCGGACGCTATGGCCCAACTTCACTGCTAAGGTTGCATGCAGGATGATGTTTTCCTAGGTTGGATGCGACGCATCCAACCCTTCTTCCTCTGGCTAAACCACCTTTTCTTCATATTTTGCACTCCGAACACCTTAAATCGTCACACATAACTTAATTAGTCATCAAACCAATAATTACACCATGTTGGGCGTTTTAAAGATTAAATAACATCAAGAAGTGGTTAAAACATGGGTAAAGTAACATCAACACATATCGAAATATGCCAAACATCACTACCCCACACTTAAACCTTTGTTCGTCCTCGAACAAACCATCACTATAGTAAACAAAATAAAATTAAGCTCTTATCATTCAAAGCACACTACATCTATGACCATGGTTATTTGCTACAATTAGGCTCTAGACTATGCATCAACACACTTCCCTTTTCTTATGCCCTTCTTTAAACATATTCGAACAAAGACAACATGCTCACAACAATCCTAACCTCAAAAACCGACTCAATGTCACAATGCACTCATGGCTTGAACAACCAACATCATAGAGAAGTCTAATAACGTTACCTATCCCTCGTGAAACCATGTGCCCTCACAACAAAAGCAAAGAGAGTAGAATCAATCCACACATTCGAATCTCATGCTCACAAAGAAAATCGCTCACTCTCACAAAAGAAGTCACATGCATGCAGTTGGTACCATAGGCTTGCCCTTAATGTAAATCTCTACTAATGTAAGCTCGCTCGATCTAAAATCAATTGGACCTTTTTCATGGTTGTAATGTGGGCTAAGGGACGGGTAGGATATATTTAAGGAATAGTGACTCAACCTCCTAAGCACTTTAACACATCATCAAATAACTTAAGCGCAAATTCTTCAACACCACTTCAATTTCACAAATAATATCACCCCAACAATATTTCCTCTTTCTTTAAGCACTACTTTAATTCATACCCACTAGCAAGAACAAGACAACAATTTATTCATCTATATTTTTTTCTTCTTTTTTTTTTCTTTCAATTTTCGCTAGTGGCGTATTATTTTACAAAATAAGTGCACCCTTCTTTCTTTCATTGGTTCCACTCAAAAGTCACCCCACACTTAGTCCCTTCTTACTTCTTTTAGCGCTCATCTAACAATTAAAGTGCTTTAAGAGGTAAAAGGATCAAAACAATGTCAATTAAGAATAAAAAGGGTGTAGGCTTGTAATGTGGGTACCAAATAAAAGGTCTACAGGCTCAAAAGGTTTAACTAGGGATAGATTTTATTTGTGATAAGCAATAAGCTCAAAAAGATCAAAGAAAGCCTAAAATCATTTTTCAAACCGAGCATCACCTAAAATTTCGCTTCAACTCACATACCGGGCAAGTTCTAGACACAAGTACACTACATGGACTACACAAAAACCTCACCACCCATGGCACATGACTCATTAAGGACGGTTACATTCCGACTCTCAAACAATGCAAGTATTCACGGAGCCACGAGATATTAAACATTAAACGTAAAGTGAACACAAGTCAAGAAAAATGAGAAATAGGCTGCAACAAAACATGCTATCCGTTTTAA